ATTAACTTTCACCTTATTATAAGCTGAAGACAATTATTTTGAAATGTGTAGCTCAAAAAATTATTCATGCGTGTCTCTGAGAAGCTTAATTATAAAAAAAAAGTTTTTCAAAAATGTCATTTTGAAGATTGTTTCTGAACACTTTGGGACCAAAATATTCTGAACTCGCTGCGTTCGCATGTTAGAGGTTGATTTTTCCAGGGTAATTTACCTTCACAGGGAGATCCCGAGAATTATTATAAGCTGAAAAAATAAGTGTAAAACGAGAGCGCAGCGAGCACATTTCGATTTAATTAAAAACTTTTCATTGGTGTCCATGAGAATCTAAATTATTCATAAAAAAATGTATTTATCGTCTACAATAAAGTCATTCTTAGAAAAATCGAAAAATCTAAGACTTAAAAATTGAAAAATTAAAATATCGAAAATTTGAAGACGCGAAAAATAGAAAAATCGAAAAATTAAAAAAGTATCGATAAATTGAAAAATTCCAAAACTGAAACATCGAAAAAATGAGAAATTGAAAACTCGAAGCCGAAAAATTAAGTATTAAGTATTTAAGAAATCCAAAAATTGAAAAATCAGAAAATTGAAGGATCGAAAGACCAAAAAATGAGAAATTCGAAAAGCCAAAAATTCGAAAAACCGAGAAATCGAAACATTAAAAGATTGAAAAATAGAAAAATTGGATCAACCCAAAATCGAAAAATTTGAAAAATCGAAACAGAAATTTCAATAAATCGAGACATCGAAAAATTGAAAAACTGAAAAATCGGACAATAAGAAATTTTAAAAGCCGAAAAATTCAAAAACAACAAGTCGACATATCGAAAAATTGGATAATACTAAAATTTAAAAATCGAAATAGTAAAACATTGGGAAATCGAAACATCGAAAAATGAAAAATCGAAGAAAAATTGAAAAATGAGTCAGTTTTGGGATTTTTTCAATTTACAAAAATCCCAAAACTGACTCATTTTTCAATTTTTCTTCGATTTTTCATTTTTCGATGTTTCGATTTCCCAATGTTTTACTATTTCGATACATCGGAAAAAATCTAATATTTAAAAAATTCAAAAATTGAAAAATCTGAAGAACTGACAAATTGAAATGACAAAAATTAGGGAAATCGAAAAATTGAAAAAAGGCGAAAAGCCGAAAATTCGAGAAACCGAGAAATCAAAATTTTAAAACACCGAAAAATCGAAACAATCCAAAATCAAAAAGTTTGAAAAATCGAAGCAGAAATCTCAATTAATCGAGATATCGAAAAATTGAAAAATTGAAAAACTGAAAAATCGAAAAATTAGAAATTTTTTAAATCGAAAAATTCAAAAACCGACAAATCGAAAAATGGAGAAATGAAAACATCAAAAAACTGAAAAATCGAAAAATCGAAGACTTAAACATCGAAAAATTAAAAAATCGAAGCAAAATTGAAGTATAGTTAAATTGAAAAATCTGAAATATCGAAAAAATGAGAAATTGAAAACTTGAAGCCGAAAAATAAAGTATTAAGTATTTAAGAAATCCAAAAATTGAAAAATCAGAAAATTGAAGAATCGAAAGACCAAAAAATGAGAAATTCGAAAAGCCGAAAATTCGAAAAACCGAGAAATCGAAATATTAAAAGATTGAAAAATGCAAAAATTGGATCAATCCAAAATCGAAAAATTTGAAAAATTGAAACAGAATTCTCAATAAATCGAGACATCGAAAAATTGAAAAACTGAAAAATCGGACAATAAGAAATTTTAAAAACCGAAACATTCAAAAACAACAAGTCGAAAAATCGAAAAATTGGATAATACTAAAATTTAAAATCGAAATAGTAAAACATTGGGAAATCGAAACATCGAAAAATGAAAAATCGACGAAAAATTGAAAAATGAGTCAGTTTTGGGATTTTTTCAATTTACAAAAATCCCAAAACTGACTCATTTTTCAATTTTTCTTCGATTTTTCATTTTTCGATGTTTCGATTTCCCAATGTTTTACTATTTCGATACATCGGAAAAAATCTAATATTTAAAAAATTCAAAAATTGAAAAATCTGAAGAATTGAAAAATTGAAATGACAAAAATTAGGGAAATCGAAAAATTGAAAAAAGGCGAAAAGCCGAAAATTCGAGAAACCGAGAAATCAAAATTTTAAAACACCGAAAAATCGAAACAATCCAAAATCAAAAAGTTTGAAAAATCGAAGCAGAAATCTCAATTAATCGAGATATCGAAAAATTGAAAAATTGAAAAACTAAAAAATCGAAAAATTAGAAATTTTTTAAATCGAAAAATTCAAAAACCGACAAATCGAAAAATGGAGAAATGAAAACATCAAAAAATTGAAAAATCGAAAAATCGAAGACTTAAACATCGAAAAATTAAAAAATCGAAGCAAAATTGAAGTACAGTTAAATTGAAAAATCTGAAATATCGAAAAAATGAGAAATTGAAAACTTGAAGCCGAAAAATAAAGTATTAAGTACTTAAGAAATCCAAAAATTGAAAAATCAGAAATTTGAAGAATCGAAAGACCAAAAAATGAGAAATTCGAAAAGCCGAAAATTCGAAAAACCGAGAAATCGAAATATTAAAAGATTGAAAAATGCAAAAATTGGATCAATCCAAAATCGAAAAATTTGAAAAATTGAAACAGAAATCTCAATAAATCGAGACATCGAAAAATTGAAAAACTGAAAAATCGGACAATAAGAAATTTTAAAAACCGAAAAATTCAAAAACAACAAGTCGAAAAATCGAAAAATTGGATAATACTAAAATTTAAAAATCGAAATAGTAAAACATTGGGAAATCGAAACATCGAAAAATGAAAAATCGAAGAAAAATTGAAAAATGAGTCAGTTTTGGGATTTTTTAATTTACAAAAATCCCTAATACATCGGAAAAAATCGAATGTTTAAAAAATTCAAAAATTGAAAAATCTGAAGAACTGAAAAATTGAAATGATGAAAATTAGGGAAATCGAAAAATTGAAAAAAGGCGAAAAGCCGAAAATTTGAGAAACCGAGAAATCAAAATTTTAAAAGATCGAAAATCGAAACAATCCAAAATCGAAAAGTTTGAAAAATCGAAACAGAAATCTCAATTAATCGAGGTATCGAAAAATTGAAAAATTGAAAAACTAAAAAATCGAAAAATGGAGAAATGAAAACATCAAAAAACTGAAACATCGAAGACTTAAAAATTGAAAAATTAAAACATCCAAAATTTGAAGACGCGATAAATCGAAACATCGAAAAATTAAAAAATTGAAGCAAAATTAAAGTATCGTTAAATTGAAAAATCTGAAATATCGAAAAAATTAGAAATTGAAAACTCGAAGCCGAAAAATTAAGTATTAAGTATTTAAGCACGTTCAGGATGTGCTCGCTGCGCTCGCATTTTAGAGGTTGATTTTTCCAGGGTAATCGCAAGAGTTATTATAAGCTGAAAAAATAAGTTTAAAATGAGAGCGCAGCGACCACGTTCCGACGTAATGAAAATTTTTCATTGGTGTCCACGAGAAGCTAAATTATTCATAAAAAAATGTATTTATCGTCTACAATAAAGTCAATCTTAAAAAAAATTGTGACTACTAAATTTGGTGGGGTCCTGAACGCGCTGGCTGTGCTCGCATTCTAATGGTATTTTTTTGAATCTAGAGATCTATTATTACAATTGAACCAAAACAATTTTGCTAAGACTCTTTCTTGAATAGTTCTGAGACCAAATTAAAAAAAAAAGAACGTTTAGAATGCGAGCGCAGCGAGCTCGTTCAGGTGTCACTTAAAAAAATTGTCGTTGGTATCCCTGAGAAGCTAAATTAATAACAACAATCAAAGAACTGAGAAATAGAAAAATAGGAAAATTGAAAGACCAAAAAATTGGAAAATCGAAAAGCCGAAAATTCGAAAAACCGAGAAGTCGAAAATAAAAATTGAAAAATCGAAAAATCCAAGACTTAAAAATTGAAAAATTAAAATATCGAAAATTTGAAGTATCGATAAATTGAAAAATTCCAAAACTGAAATATCGAAAAAATGAGAAATTGAAAACTCGAAGCCGAAAAATTGAGTATCAAGTATTTAAGAAATCCAAAAATTGAAAAATCAGAAAATTGAAGAATCGAAAGACCAAAAAATGAGAAATTCGAAATGCCGAAAATTCGAAAAACCGAGAAATCGAAAATAAAATTTGAAAAACTGAAACATCGAGAAATCGAAACATTAAAAGATTGAAAAATGCAAAAATTGGATCAACCCAAAATCGAAAAATTTGAAAAATCGAAACAGAAATCTCAATAAATCGAGACATCGAAAAATTGAAAAACTGAAAAATCGGACAATAAGAAATTTTAAAAACCGAAAAATTCAAAAACAACAAGTCGAAAAATTGAAAAATTGGAAAATACTAAAATTTAAAAATCCAAAAATAAAAAATCGAAGATAAATTGAAAAATGAGTCAGTTTTGGAATTTTTTCAATTTACAAAAATCCCAAAACTGATACATCGGAAAAAATGTAATATTTAAAAAATTCAAAAATTGAAAAATCTGAAGAATTGAAAAATTGAAATGGCGAAAATTAGGGAAATCGAAAAATTGAAAAAAGGCGAAAAGCCGAAAATTCGAGAAACCCAGAAATCAAAATTTTAAAATCGAAACAGAGATTTCAACCTGAGCTGACCTAACCTGACTAGATCTGACCTGACCAGACCTGACCTGACTAGACCTGTTCTGACCAGACCTGACCTGACCAGACCTTACCAGACCAGACCAAACGTGACCTGATCTGACTAGACGTAGGCGTAGCGCGCAGTTCATAATTATACGAAATCAAGTAGCCAATGGCGTCCATAACCCTATTTTCAACAAATCTAACCAGCTTGCGCCGCCAACAATTAAAAAATTCGTGACCCGTAAAACGTCCGAGACGCAGGCGAGCGCAATCAATTTCGAAACAGTTACGTTTACTCCACAAAGTACACTAATCTCTCCTCACCTGTAACTCCGGCGGTCCGCCTTCATCTCTAATCAATAACAGGTAACTTTGATTGTCGACGAGGATTTCCTTCTTGAAGCGACCTCCTTCCGGCGACTCTTCCTGCATGTAAGATCCGGTCAAGTAGCGGTGAACCAAGGCAGATTTTCCGGACGACAACGAGCCGACGATGCCGAGCCGCAGGTCGGGGACCGTTCTCGACAGCGTCCATTCCTGGCTATTAACGAAGGAGTCTGCAACAAGGATCGCCGGTTACGAATGTCGAATTTCCGAGATTGCATGTAATTATTTTTACACGGATTGGTTGTTGCGTGAAATTATGTAGATGAGAAGCGAGGCGGAAAATTATAGATTGTCGAGGCTAGTTTTAAGACGAGCTGAAATATGTCACCTTATCGCTTTTTCGGATCGTAAAAGCCCCGGAATGTCTGTAGCTTTTGGAGACGTCGGCGGTTACGTGACGGGATGTTCGGAGAGGTATGGCGTGAATTAGAAGTGACGTTAGGGAATAAATCGTTGGGGGAAGGAGGCAGCTTGTGTTGAAAAATTCTTTGCTTAGTTTTGAGGTCGCAAAAATGCGAACGAAGCGATGTCGCAATCGGAATAGTGACACAAACAAACACGGTTTTGACGGTCGGTTTATTCAATCTCGGCGATAAACTCATTATAAGAAATAATTACCCGTCTTGACAGGTATGTAACGTTGAACGTTTCCTTTTTTCGCTCCATTTGAATTGCAAATTAGAGTCACAGTAATGTGATAACTTTAACTGTTCTTTCGTGTACTTGATACACAGAAATGCAAACTTCCTTGTTGTCGATTTTGTACTACCGTACAAAATCGACACAGATCAATCAAAAGCAGGACTTATGAATGCATTAAGAACTAATTATTTCCCATTAACGTCTACATACCTCCAACCAATCACCAGTCCTAAACATTTCCCATTCAACCAAATACCACCCCTAAATTATACCCAGGAACAAAGGAACGGCCCTTTACAAAATGGAAAGGTTCGCTCTTAGTGCGTCCTTCCATACCACAGGTAGCCCGTCCATAAATTAATTCCTAAACAGACACAGTTTATTTTCAATTAATTTATTCCGTGGGATTCGGAACAACAGATAAATAATCAACTTGTAAAGTTTAATGAATTATTTATTAGTCCGGGCCGCACTAAAATGCGGGCTAATTAAATCCAACATCCCTTTTTTTTTTTTTAGTTTAATTTAAATATCTCAAGGGTCCGCCTGTCTCTTCTCCTCTTTCCGTTATCTACAAATGATCTTCGACACATACATTAATTAAATCACCCAATAACTTTTTCCATCGACCCATATGGGTGCACGCACGTTTCCCGGGATGACGGGACAGGTGCGTGACTAGGATGAACCCAGCTGTTTTCCGGGCCCGGAAACCGCGCGCGTGCTACTCGCGTTTCCGGAGGTGGTTTTCTTTGTCCTTTTACGGGGTTAATTGTACAACAATCGCTCACTTGTTGGAGCTTCTTCCGTTTGTGAATATTTTTTGTTATGGAAGGAAAACGGCCGTGACTGCGATTGCGATCTGGATTTTTGGCTCGAGGATTTTAATTACGACTGACCTCAACGAGCTGAAGAAATGAGTCGTGAACGGTTGAATAACTGGAGAAAAACGAAGTTATTAGCTCGGGGAACAAAACAAAGTATGTGTGTGGGGTTCAGCGTTCGCGACCTTTGCGACGGAAGTCACATACTTGATTTAATGAATGGTTCTCTTGTGTTATTTTGGCGGCAGTTTAGTTGAAAGGAGGTTGTGTTTGCAACTATGTTCCCATGTAAAGTGACTACGGGTGGAGGAAAAATTGGTCGAAAGAATTTTTTTCGACACTGAAGTGTAACCCAACAAATCCAGCAAAATCAGTGGTGTAAATACCAAGACAATTGAAATATATTTAAAGCAGATAATCAAAGCGAAAAAATGCTTTTTGGAAAATCGAAATATCGATAAATTGAGAAATCCAAAAATTTTAAAAATTGCAAAATCGAAAAACTGAAATATCGAACAAAATATCTCAGTTCGTCGATTTTTCTGTTTTTCAGACTAAAAATTAAAAAAATCAAAAATCGAGAAGCCGAAAAATCGAAGAACTGACAAATCGAAAAATTGAAAAATCGAAAGACCAAAAAATTGAAACAGCCCAAAATCGACAGATCGATAGAAACTGGAAAATTTAAAATTAAAAAAATCGCTAATTCGAAAATTTGAAAAATCGATAAATTGAACAATCGAAAGATCGAAACAGAAATCGGGATATGGAAAAATTGAAACACTAAAAAGTGAAAAATCGAAAAACTGCAAAATTGAGAAATCGAAAAATCCAAGCCGAAAAATTGAAATGACGAAAATTCGGGAAATCGAAAAACTGAAAAATCGAAAGATCGGAAAATTGGAACATCGAAAAGGCGAAAAGTCGAAAATTAGCAAACCGAGAAATCAAAACTTTTAAAAATCTAATAAGTACATATTTAAGAAATTCAAAAATCGAAAAATCAGCAAATTGAAGAATCGAAAGACCAAAAAATTAGAAAATCGAAAAGCCGACAATTCGAAAAACCGAGAAATTAAAATAAAACTTGAAATCTGAAACATCGAGAAATAAAAAATAAGAAATTTTAAAAATCGAAAAATTCAAAAACCGACAAGTCGAAAAATCGAAAAATCGGGCAACTATTGAAACATCAAAAATTCGGAAAATTGAATAATCACAAAATTTAAAAATCAAAAATGTAAAAAATCAAGTAATCGAAACAACGAAAAATTAAAAAATCAGAAAAAAAGTATCGATAAATTGAAAAATCCCAAGACTGAAATATCGAAAAATTGAGAAATCGAAACACTAAAAATTTTAAAAACTGAAAAATGGAAAAATCAAAGACTTTAAAAATTGAAAAATTAAAATATCGAAAATTTGAAGTCGCGAGGAATTGAAAAATGGAGAAATTGAAATATCAAAAATTCGGAAAATTGAATAATCCTAAAATTTAAAAATCGAAAATGTAGAAAATCAAGAAATCGAAATATCAAAAAATTCAAAACTCGAAACCCAAGCCCATATTTAAGAAATCCAAAAACTGAAAAATCAGAAAATTGAAGAATCGAAAGACCAAAAAATTAGAAAATCGAAAAGTCGAAAATTCGAAAAATGGAGAAATGGAAATGTCAAAAAACTGAAAAATCGGGCAATTGAAACATCAAAAATTCGGAAAATTGAATAATCCCAAAATTTAAAAATCGAAAATGTAAAAAATCAATCGAAATATCGAAAAATTAAAAAAATAAAAAAAAAAAGTATCGATGGATTGAAAAATCCCAAGACTGAAATATCGAAAAATTGAGAAATCGAAACAGTGAAACAGCTAAATTAAAAAAAATCGAAAATTCAAAAATTTTAAAAACTGAAAAATGGAAAAATCTAAGATTTTAAAAATTGAAAAATTAAAAAATCGAAAATTTGAAGTCGCGAGGAATTGAAAAATGGAAAAATTGAAACATCAAAAATTGGGAAAATTGAATAATCCCAAAATTTAAAAATCGAAAATGTAGAAAATCAAGAAATCGAAATATCAAAAAATTGAAAACTCGAAGCCAAAAGATCTAATAAGTACATATTTAAGAAATCCAAAAATTGAAAAATCGGAAAATTGAAGAATCGAAAGACCAAAAAATTAGAAAATCGAAAAGCCGAAAATTCGAAAAACCGAGAAATTGAAAATAAAATTTGAAAAACTGAAACATCGAGAAATAAAAAATGAGAAATTTTAAAAATCGAAAAATTCAAAAACCGAAAAGTCGAAAAATCGAAAAATGGAGAAATGGAAACATCAAAAAACTGAAAAATCGGGCAATTGAAACATCAAAATTTCGGAAAATTGAATAATCACAAAATTTAAAAATCGAAAATGTTAAAAATCAAGTATGTAATCGACACATCGAAAAATTAAAAAATCAAAAAAAAAGTATCGATAAATTGAAAAATCCCAAGACTGAAATACCGAAAAATCGAGAAATCGAAACAGTGAAACAGCCAAATAAAAAAAAATCGAAAATTCAAAAATTTTAAAAACTGAAAAATGGAAAAATCTAAGACTTTAAAATTGAAAAATTAAAATATTGAAAATTTAAAGTCGCCAGGAATTGAAAAATGGAGAAATTGAAACATCAAAAATTCGGAAAATTGAATAATCACAAAATTTAAAAATCGAAGATGTAAAAAGTCAAGTAATCGAAACATCGAAAAATTAAAAAATAAAAAAAAAAGTATCAATAAATTGAAAAATCCCAAGACTGAAATATCAAAAAATTGAGAAATCGAAACAGTGGAATAGTCAAATTAAAAAAAAAATCGAAAATTCAAAAATTTTAAAAACTGAAAAATGGAAAAATCAAAGACTTTAAAAATTGACAAATTAAAATATCGAAAATTTGAAGTCGCCAGGAATTGAAAAATGGAGAAATTGAAACATTAAAAATTCGGAAAATTGAATAATCCTAAAATTTAAAAATCGAAAATGTAGAAAATAAAGAAATCGAAATATCAAAAAATTGAAAACTCGAAGCCAAAAATTGAAAAATCAGAAAATTGAAGAATCGAAAGACCAACAAATTAGAAAGTCTAAAAGCCGAAAATTCGAAAAACCGAGAAATTGAAAATAAAATTTAAAAAACTGAAATATCGGGAAATAAAAAATAAGAAATTTTAAAAATCGAAAAATAAAAAATCCGACAAGTCGAAAAATGGAGAAATGGTAACATCAAAAAATTGAATAATCACAGAATTTAAAAATCGAAGATGTAAAAAGTCAAGTAATCGAAACATCGAAAAATTAAAAAATCAAAAAAAAAAGTATCGATAAATTGAAAAACCCCAAGACTGAAATATCGAAAAATTGGGAAATCGAAACAGTGAAACAGCCAAATTAAAAAAAATCGAAAATTCAATGATTTTAAAAACTGAAAAATGGAAAAATCAGGAATTTTAAAACTAGAATAATTCAAAAATCGAAAAATACAAATATGTAGGTATCGCAAAACTGAAAAATTGAATAATCTTAAAATTTAAACTGGAAAAAGTAATAAATCTAGAAATCGAAACATCGAAAAATTGAAAAAATGAGAAATCAAAAAGTGAAAAAATCGAAGTCGAAAAATTTAACATTTAAAAAATCCAAAAATTTATTAATTGAATGAAAA